GTAAACAGATGCACCAGTTGCTCTTCTGTTATATGTCTGACAAAGTAGCTGCTTACAAGTGTTTGCTGAAGTATTAAATCGCACTTGCTGTTACCACGTTGACCGTGCGGTGCCAAATCACCCAGGAAGTGTGAGTAGTCTTTTCACTGAAGCTTCAACATTCCAGTTCTCTAGCCACAACAAAGTGCCTAACAATAACTTGTCAAATCATTAAACGTGAAATGCAGATTGAGTGAAGCCCACCACGGGGCGTCCTGCGAGACACTCACTGTGGAGTTGCCTGCCTCGGCTGCCAGGCGGGCAGCGTAGCGAGCGATGAGGCGGTGCTCTTCATCTAGCCGACTGGGACTCTCCAAGACACTGCCCAAAGTCAGAGAAAGAGAAATACATCACACACACACACATAGATATATATATATACAGCAACACTGACTCAAATGTGAAAAAGCTCTTATGTAAGTAAAGTTTGTACAGTCAAAGTGATTATATGAAGCAATTTGCATAAAAAAACTTTGAGGTGACCTTCTTATATGACATTTGGCTTTGTCTCCAGTGTTGATAGACAGTCTGAAATAATTGGCCATAACAATGAACTGACATGAATAAGAGAGAATGCAGCATGCCAAATGCATTTGTCACTGTGCCAATGCCCATTCTGGCCATTTCATCACTGACTGGAAATGTCAAATAAGGCATGAGACTTTAAATGACCATGGGTGTGGCATATGGCGTGGACAGATGACAGGACATATGCTGTCCCTTCTCGGCAGGCAGTCTGCAATGAGGAGTGAAGGAGAGCTGAAATGGTGCTGGACGCTATCTCACTCTGAGTGGAGAGTGAGCGATGATTAAGACCATTAAACCCAATCTGGCTTCAAACTCTGCTGCATCAACAACTACAGTCCCTGCAGCTTTGACTACCCAGGTCCAAAACACACTGCAAACCAGCCTTTTAATTGACATTTGTATTAAAAAATCTTATCTTTCTCAGAGCAGATAGAAAAAGCTGTCAGTATGATGAGATAATTTTAGTTGCTGCAGCTCCTACCTCGCTTGTTTCAAGGGTTTTCTAAGTCCAGTGATGGTATCTTAAAATACTCTGCGGATCGTTCAACTCGTTTGAAGATAGTGTCACAGACTCGAAAAACATTCATTTGGTCTGCACTAGGCAAAACTGAAATCACTCCACCAATATGTCAAATCACTTGTTTTGAGGAAAATATCAAGACAAGTCTTGTTAAAAGGGACACTTTCTGAATAATTTACAATCTTATCCTCAGGCTGAAGCATACATGGAGCCTGATGTTTTCTTGTAAGTTTAAAGTAAGACATTAATGCACGTAAGGGAGCTGCTCGGGTTGGCTCAGGAAATACCGTGACCCTACGAGGTCTTTTGGAGCTGAACTGCATGTCTGGATCTTCAGGCTATCAGCACAGAACCTGCTCCTGCCCGTGTTTCATCAGGGAGTTTCCTGGCACCACCTGATGGTCCATGCCAGGTTTTGGAAGACGCATGAACTGCCTTCAAGCCCCCCTGAACTGGCATCTTTCCCAGGGATCTTTTATTTTTGTCACACATTTGAAGATATCAACATTTTTCTACTCAGACTTATTTTGGTTAGAAACGTGGAGATTTTCGTTTAGAGGAATAATGCCGATTGACCTTGCAGCATTCATAGTGGATATCATGTTAATGATATTGATTGATTGACATAATGATGTTTTCAGAATTTGATGCATAGTACATTTAATTTAAATATCTCTGAAGACAAATTTCATACTCATCATTACTCTGTATCTCAAAGTTGGATGGACTTTCTCACAGTATTATCTATAA